CAGTCACAGCCAATCAGAGTGTTGTTCCTGTCAGTCACAGCCAATCAATGTTGTTGCTGTCAGTCACAGCCAATCAGAGCAGAGTTCCCATGGCTCCAGAGCAGATCAGATGTGGGATCTCAGACGTGGTCAGTGTTTGTGGACCAGAGGTCTTCTGGGCTCGGCCGTTTCAGGGGAACTTCCCACTGGACTGACGTCAGCCTGGAACTTTGGTCTCCTTAGAAACCGGATCGGGTCCAGCAGGAACCGGTCTGCTCCGACCCGCATCCACCAGGGGGCGCCGAGGGAGGCCTTAAAGGGCCGGCGGCCCTCCAGCAGCCTGCTCTGGACAGGCCGGAGAGTCAGAACCGGTTCTGTTTCAGCCTCAGAGAGAGTCAGAACCAGATCACAACCGGTTCTGTTTGTGTCAGAGAGTCAGAACCGGTTCCGTTTCAGTGTCTGAGAGAGTCAGAACCGGTTCTGTTTCAGTGTCTGAGAGAGTCAGAACCGGTTCTGTTTCAGTGTCTGAGAGAGTCAGAACCAGATCAGATCCGGTTCAGCCTCTCTGTTTCAGGAGTTTTATCACCAATAAAACATTTTATCAATCAGAAGTTTCCCTGTCGTCTCTGAGCTGTGTCGGACCGGTTCTGTCTGGTCCATTCTGAGCCGACTGATTCCCCTCAGAGACCCGCCCCTCTCCTCCCCCATGACCCCCCCCCTCCCCCCCCCGGACCCCCTCCCCCCCGGGTGGGGGCCGCCCTACTTCCGGAGTCATGGGAAAGGTTTCTTCCTCAGCTGGGGTCGATTCCTTGATAAGCTTTTGAAGGCCCATCAGAACTGGACCATCAGAACCAGCCCGAGCAGGGAGGGGCAGGAACCAGGCATCAGGGGGTGTTAGTGGTATTATAGTTGTTTATTTTAAAGTTAATAAAGGCATTTTGATTTGTTGGTGTTTTTATTAAAGGTTTCTGCTATTTATAGTTTTTTATTTCTCTACTAATCTGTTACACATGTTTACAAATGGAGACATTAAGCAGATCGGAGATGCTGCACAGGATCCGGTCCTGGTCTCAGTCCTGGTCCTGGTGCTGGTCTCAGTCTCTGTCCGGGTCCGGAGCTTGTTCCCCGTCTCAGTCCTGGTCCCGGTCTCAGTCCTGGTCCAGGTCTTTTTACTTGTCCCGATCCTGGTCTCAGTCCTGGTCCTGGTCCCGGCCCCGGTCCTGGTCCTGGTGGCAGTCCCTGCACAGGATCCGGTCCCGGTCGGGGTAGAAGCTGCAGCCCACCAGCGACACGGAGCAGCCGGAGCACTTGAAGCAGGGCCGGTGCCACCGGAGGTCCTGGAAGGACACGTAGCTGCTGTCCCCGAAGCCTGCAGGGGTCAGAGGTCAGGGGTCAGAGGTCAGGGTTAGGGGTTAGGCTCCTCTAGGGGCCAGCAGCCCCCCCCCCCCCTCACCGGTAATGGCCGCCCTGCAGCCGGAGCACCTCTGGCCGTACAGCCGGCCGAAGCAGCGGACGCAGTGGGGCCGCCCCCCCTCCGGGCCCCCCCCCTCGGCGCCCCCCCCCTCCGGGCCCCCCCCCTGGGGGACGAAGGGCTGGCCGGCCAGAGGGGCCCTGCAGCCCCAGCACAGGAAGCAGTCCCGGTGCCAGACCTGGTCCTGGTAGGCCACCCCCCCTCGGGTCAGGGCCTGCGGGCACAAACCGGATCAGAATCATTGAACTGGTCCTGGCCCTGGACCTGGAAATGACCACAAGCCTGGAGATGGACCTGCTGGACCTGGACCTGGACCTGGCCCTGGAACTGGTCCCAAGCCAGAACCTGGCCCTCCAGGACCAGCTGGACCTGGCCCTGCTGGACCTGGCCCTGGAAATGGCCACAGGCCTGGAGATGGACCTGCTGGACCTGGACCTGGCCCTCCAGGACCAGCTGGACCTGGATCTGCTGGACCTGCTGGTCCTGGCCTTGGTCCTGGTCCTGGTCCTGGCCCCGGACCTGGCCCTGGACCTGATGACCTGCTGGACCTGCTGACCCTGCGTGACCTGGACCGGCTGGACCTGCTGGCCCTGGTCCTGCTGGACCAGGTCCTGGCCCTGGCCCTGGACCAGCTGGACCTGGTCCTGGCCCCGGACCTGGACCTGCTGGTCCTGGTCCTGGCCCCGGGCCGGCTCACCTTCCTGCAGAGGCCGCAGCGGGGGAGGCGGTCCTCGTGGCAGGGCTGGCAGTAGAAGCCGTCCTGGTCTGGGACGAAGGCCGCGGCCCCGATGGGCTTCTGGCAGCCCCGGCACAGGAAGCAGTCCTCATGCCAGGTGGAGCCTTCGTACTTCAGCATCCTGGACCCTGTGGGGGGGGGGGCAGCCAGGTCAACCCCCCATAAGGCTGCTCATCTACCACAAAGCAGAGACAGGAAGCAGCAGCCGGACGGACCCCAAGGATCTGGGACCTCTGAGACCTGAATCCAGGCTCCACTTCCTGGAAATCAGCTGATGTGCTGAAACCAGTCGACTAAAAGCTGGAACTCAGAGCTGTGGATCATTTTAGACTTCCTGCTTTAGAAAACAGCCACTTTGGGCTTGAGGACAACAGCTGGACTGTTTGCTGCCATTCAAAACCCTCAAATGCTCCAGATCAGCAGCCTGATCAGCTCTGACAGCAGCAGGTTTTTCATCCAGATGTGAGCCTCTGATCAGAACCAGAGAGGAAACTACTCACACTTTCTGCGTCCAGAACCAGCTCTGCTTTCCACTAAATGAGCTCTGTTTCAGCAGATATTACAGACAGAAGTGGAAACATGTGTTCAGGAGATGAAACAGGTTGATTTCAGAGCAAAAACAGACTCAGTTTAACCTGAGAAGAGAAAATGAGGCTTAAAGTGTCTCACTGCTCAGTTTGATGAAGAATCCTCTCAAAATAATAGCTGATTTTACATTAAAATGATGGAAAGACATCAGCTTTTACACAAGAAGCTGAAATAATCCCACAAATCAATTTGGGAATCAGATAAATTAGTAAAATAAATGTAAAAAATTCTGAATATCTGACATTTAAACTTTGAATTCCTGCTTTTTTCCTCCAGAACCAGCTCTGGTTTCCACTAAATGAGCTCTGTTCCAGCAGATATTACAGACAGAAGTGGAAACATGAGTTCAGGAGCTGGAAACAGCTTCTCTGAGCAGCAGAAACTCAGCTCTGGGCCCCTCTGGCCCTCAGATCCCAGCTCTGGGCCCTCAGACCTACCCGGCGGGACGCTCCGGCTGCAGGCCACACACTGGGCCTGGCTGCAGATGCTGCACAGCAGCTGGTCGTCCTGGCAGCTGATTGGCTGATCGGCCAGCGAGCGCCGGCAGCGGCTGCAGCGGAAACACTGCAGGTGGAAATGTCGGTCCTGGTAGAGCAGCTCCTGGAGGCAGAACCAGAACCAGAACCAGAACCTGTCAGGACCGGAGGACCGTCCCTGTGCACCTGCCCCCAGTCCATACTGTGTGGAAACTTTTACATAAAAATAATTTTATTTTCATTAACTATAATATTTGAATATCATAATTAATTACTATATAATATATATGTAAATATAATACCAATATCAATATTTATACAATACATATATTATAATATTTATCATTATTATAAGAGGCTTTTACCCCCTGATCTGCTTCCAGGAGCAGAAACATTCCTGTAAAATGTGACGTCTGTTTTTCAGCAATCAGATGATTGGCAGCTTATTTTTCCTCTTTTGGAGATAATTTTGTGGATTATTGAAGTTGTGAGGGGCCGCGGGGCCCTTCTGTTTTCAAAAGAAACATGTCATCGGTAGAAAAACATCTCCTACTTTCCCTGGTTTGAAGGGAGGGGGGGTCAAACCTCCACTTAACTTTTATTTATTTATGAAAAAACTCATATTTGCCGACTGAACTGATAAGAAAAACGTTTTCCCATAAATATTCCCGTCCATGGAAACGTTCCCACAGTCTGAAGCTCCTTAAAATCAACCAGAACTGAAACATCTGTTTAAATGAAAACATCCGGTGGATCCTGTCTGACTCCCACCTGTCCAAAGCCTCTTTTTACTGTCTTATTAATCCTGAAATCTGGATGTCATCACAAACAGATTTAATTTCCAGGATGGTGAACAGATTTATGAACCTTTTGATGTGTTTTCAGCTCCTTTTGCTTAAGAATCAGCTTCATCTCTCTTTCTTCCTCTGCTTGTTGCTTGTTCCTTTCTGCAGAGTTTTTTGGCTGTTTTTATCTGTTTTTCTTCATTTATTGTGTTTTTTTCAGATAGTTTTATGTCTGATGGATTTCTTTTTCTTCATTTTGTGCATTTTCTGGACAAATTTTGCCTGTTTTTGCTCATCTTACAACTCTTAACACTTGCTTTGTGTGTCTTTGTGGCACCTTTGTGGTGGTTTAATGTGATTTTCTCCATTAATTGTGTTTTCTTTGGTAGTTTTGTGCCCAATGAATTTCTGTTTTGTTTTGTGCAGTTTTGTCGTGATTTTGTTTATTATCTGGTTACATTTGGTCTGTTTTATGTCTCTTCGGATTGGCTTTGTGTCCTTTTACTGTTAGTTTTCTGTCAGGGATTTGCAGTTTTCAGCTAATCAGGATTTCAAACCCAAATGCAAGTTGACTCCCCGGGGTCCATCAAACATTTAACCACTAAAACCGTTCAGGAATGATTGGAGTCCCACCCTTATGACCCCGTTGAACTCTAATCTGGTTCTGACCCAGAGGGACTGAAGGGGTCTGAGTGGGACCTGAGGGGGCCTCTGGGGGGACTTGTACCTGCGCGTCGTGCCCGATGGCCTCTCGGCAGTGGTGGCAGGTGCTGGCGTGCAGCCGGTCGTAGCAGGCCACGCAGTGCGGCCGCCCCCCCACCTGGATGTAGGTGCGGCCGAACAGCGACTCGCTGCAGCCGCCGCAGTCGAAGCGCTCGCTCATGCTGCTCCTCTGTAGACCCACAGGGGGAGCCGGGTCAGCTGGGACCCAGAAACAGGCTCCAGCTCCACCCTGAGCTCAGCCTGATGCTACATGCTAGCAGAGGGTTTAGCATTAAGGCTTTAACATCCAGCTAGAACACAGATTCCACAGCTATCATCCATTGATGCTACATGCTATCAGGAAAGAAGATACTTTAGAGCTTTAGGACTTTAGGACTTTTGAAGAGAGTCTATCTATCTATCTATCTATCTATCTATCTATCTATCTATCTATCTATCTATCTATCTATCTATCTATCTATCTATCTATCTATCTATCCATCCATCCATCCAAGCTCTCCCTTTGTAGAGCCTCAAAACAATGTTCTCATTGCTGAACTGCAAGTTCAGATTGTGTGTGAAATAGTTTAAGGTCAGTGTGAAACCACAGATGAAGAGAAGGGAGTTGAATCTTGTGGTTGGTCACAGGAACAGCCTCCAGCCCCTCCAGTGCTTTCTGCCTCCGGCGGCAGCTGTTTGCATCTGGAGCTGCTCAGGAGTGACTTCAGATAAACATCAAACAAGCTGTGGGAGCAAAGCTCTGCTCCGATAGCAGCTGCTCGCTGGCCGGGGGAACCCCACATCCTCCCTTCGCCCCCCAGCCTGGCCGCATTCATTTGGGAATAAGATAAATAACTAAAATAAATAAAAAATCATTCAAAATATTGGCTTTACTAAGAAGCTTTTTATACTTAGAGCATCTCACGTTGGACCTCAGAGGACTCATAAAAACATTAATCTATCCACCATGGACTGCTTGGCCATCGTTTAAAGCAGCCCTCGTGTGACCTTTGACCTGCTCTGTGACGCTGGTCATCAGTTTGTGAGACCATCAGACTAAGGAGGTCCAGCTGGGAGGAAGTCAGCTCTGTTTAGAGCTCCACGGTCCAAACAGAAAACAGCCAACTCCCCCCATTCTGCCTGATTTACCAGAATTACTCTTGTTCATTCCGGACCACAGACCCCCCACAGACCGCAAAGGTCAAAGCTCACATCACTAAAACTTTTAATAACATGAGTTAGTCCCTGTTTTAAATCCATCATAAAACCCTGAGCCCCTCTTTGCCGTTCGGGGGAATTTCTCACAAACTGGCAACCTCACTAACTCCTAACCGGCAGCTGATGGTCACCAGGTGAGCGCGTGTGCGCCTGCGCAGTGCAGAGCACCTGAGTGAAGCAGCACCTACCGGAGGCTCACGCGCTGTCCGATCCTCCGCGTGCTCCCGCAGACTGAGGCTGCGAGGCGCGCGAGCGGAGACCGAGACCCGGACCAGGACCCGCCCCCATCCGGAGCCAGAAGCGGAACAGACCGCCCACAAGGACCGGCTCAGTTCAGCCCCCAGAACCGGAACCAGGACCACGATAGGACCTCCAGCAGGACCGGAACCAGTACAAACCTTCATCAGAACCAGAACCAAGAAAACTCCATCAGAACCAGGAACAAATCTCCTTGAGAACCAGAACCAGAAAAAGTTCCAGCAGAACCAGAAAAACCTCCATAAGAACCAGAACCAGAAAAACTTCCATCAGAACCACAACCAAAACCTGGAACAAACCGGAACAAGGACCATGATAGGACCTCCATCAGGACCAGGAACTAGAAACCTCCAACAGAACCAGATCCAGGAGCAGATCTCGATCAAAACCAGAACCAGAAAGAACTTTCATCAGTACCAGACCTCCATCAGATCCTAAAAAAACCTCCATCAGAAGCAGAACCAGGGGCAGACCTCCATCAGAACCAGGGGCAGACCTTCATCAGAACCAGGAGGAGACCCCACCAGAGTTTCTGGGTCAGAACCGCAGCAGCAGCTTTCTGGGGCTTGTGGGGGAGTGCTGCCCTCTGCTGGTGAGCCCCCATCACAGCACGGCGAGGGGTGGGGGGGGCAGGACTCCCCCAGGTCAGAGACGAGGACCTGGACCCAATTCAGGGGATGGAACCGGATCCCAGAAGTTCTGAGACGTTTATTCTGTTCTGGTTCGGCTTGTTTAGTTGATTTAAAGGAGTTAAAGTTTACATTAACTTGCCAACGCGGAAGCGATTACCAGACTAAACCCCGCCCCTTGGCGCTGATTGGCCCCTCGGCCCAAACATTGGTCACATGACCAGTTGAGCAGGAAGAGACGAAAAGCGCTGTGGTGAGCGACGTTTTTGCTTCTTATCTCCTCAGAAATGCTTTTTAAACTCTATCTGCTGTTTGTGTTTGTTAGATTTTAATGAGAATTAGACAATATTTCTGCCTAGACGTCTGAAATGTGGATTTATACAGTGTAAAGGTGGAGTTAGCTGTTAAAGCTCGTTCTTCTGGTTCTTACATCTTTGTAAAACTGTTTCTGTTTGATTTCACTTCAATTTAACGAGTTACTTTTTGGCCACGCACATTAGAGACACATTGTGTTTTATGGTCCAAAGCGGCAGAGAAGCCCAAGAGGGGATGGTTGGGGTTTTGGGGGGTTCCAACATGGGCTTTTATCAGGAAGTGTGACACAGTTGGCTCCAGTTTCAGGATGGCTCCTGGTTCCTGGTTCCTGGTTCTGCTCCTGGCTGCCCCGCTAATGCTGGTGTCCTCCGGCCCGGTTCGTGGCACGAACAACGGGACTGTTCCGGTGGTGCTGTGGCACGGGATGGGTGAGTCCCCCATGGGGCCGGAGGGCTCCAAACCCCAGCCGCAGCTGGTCAGGATTATGAAATTTGACGTAATTTCTGTGCCTGTTGAGCTGTAACACCAAGAACTGAGTGACGCCGTCCATGAGGGCGATTCTGAACAGGAGACGATCAGCCGTCTGCAGGATCTGTTCCGCTTTACCTTTCAGATCCTCTTCCTCTCCTGGATTAGAGAGTTTTTTAGGCCCAACTCTTCTTCTTCTGTCCTCCACTGGTCCAGTTTCCTCAGATGGTTTAAGGACTCTCTGCTCACCAGCTGAGATCTGCCCAGTTTTCAGCAGCAGCTCTTTGGGAATCCTCACAAATCCTGTTTCCTGTCTGTCAGACTGAGTTTTCTTTGGCCCAAAGAGCTGCTGGCTGAAAACTGGGCAGATCTCAACGTGCATCCTTTTCCTGCTCAGTGAGCTGGCCTGACCTCTGGTGTCTGGCCTCATAACCTCTGGTCCCTGACCTCTGACCTCTTGCCTGCTCCAGGGGACAGCTGCTGCAACCCGCTCAGCATGGGCTCCATAAAGAAGATGCTGGAGGAGGAGCTGCCTGGAGTCTACGTGCTGTCTCTGATGATCGGGAAGAACGTGGTGCAGGTCAGACCTGGACCTGGGAGACCTGGACCTGGTGGGGCGCCTTTGTGAGCCTCTGAAACACCCCCCTTGTCTCTTTACAGGACACAGAAAACGGCTTCTTCCTGGACGTGAACCAGCAGGTGGCGATGGCGTGCAGCCAGCTGGCCCAGGATCCCCAGCTGCAGGGGGGCTACAACGCCATGGGCTTCTCCCAGGGGGCCCAGTTCCTGTGAGTGACCCCCCTCCCGGACCCACTGCCCCCCCACAGTCACCCAGCCTCACCCGCTCTGCTCCCCCCCCTACAGGAGAGCCGTGGCCCAGCGCTGCCCCTCCCCCCCCATGAAGACGCTGATCTCTGTGGGCGGCCAGCACCAAGGTGATGACATCACTGAGACACCTGTGATGTGATCTATCTATAAATATATAAAAAAAAATAGCAAACATTATGGTGGGGTTTGGGGGGCACATTTAAAAAAAAAAGGGGGAATAAATGACGAGATGAATGATGAGAATAAGTAGGTAAACATTTGTGTTTTGGAGGACAGGTGATAAAATAAGAAACCAGGAGAGGCCTCACGTTTTGGCCAATCAGATTTATAGAGCAGGCTGTGGGTGGAGCATCAGAGGGTTTTTCCCTCTAACCAGCTAAGCCCCGCCCCCCTAAAGCCCCATCCCTGGCTGACGCCGCTCTGTGTCTCAGGTGTGTACGGGCTGCCCAGGTGTCCCGGCGAGAGCTCCCACATCTGCGACATGATCCGGGAGGCCCTGAACCGCGGCGCCTACAGCGACCTGGTCCAGAAGCAGTAGGTACAGCCGGCGTG